CGTGCTGTTTATATAACTGAAGTCCTACTGTCTGCATTGCTCCATGTAGGAATTGGTGGAGACACAGCATGTGTCTGATGACTGATTGAGACATTATCAAGTAATGCAGAGGTTGTGCACCTTTGAGGAAAGTTGCCCCATTCAGTAAGGGCAGTGAAGGTGTTGGCTGAATTGTCAAAATGTAGTTTTTCATTGTATTTATAAATGAATTTTGTTTTACTTTGTGGGAAGAAAAATTGTGTATTGCAGTTTTATTTAAACAATGTGCTTCTTGTAGTTTTGAAAAACAGCTGACCTCTTTGGTTAAATTGTTCAAGGTATGGGGAAAGAGCATATTTAGACAGTGATTTTGATTTTCATTATAGCCTATTTTCACTTGACAGGAGGGAAAACTGAAAGAGAGGTCATCAGTATGCTCAGGGGGAGAAGCCAGAATAGACCTTTAACATCTCATTCACTTTGATACTATGGGAGTTTCTGAAGGACCTCAACCAAAGTTAAATAGCATGTTAAATGCTGGTGTTCCTGCTCAGCAAGGGGTTGAACATGTCACTGTTGAAATACACAGGACTGAAAAAGAGGACAGGCAAGAGACAGTAGTATTTGTGTTAGAGATGGGAAATTATAAGGTGTAGAGACATTTACTGTGTGTTAGTCTGGAGAAGACTTGGGACTTGAATCACAGCTCTTAAAATAGTCTTGCCTTAAAGGCAAGACTCTAAGTACTGTGCTCAGGCCAGTGAATAATATTAAGAGCTGCATCTGGTAATTCTGGAATTAGCTACTTAACTTTGGTATCACAAGACAGGCTGGTCCTATGGCTACTGTCAGAAGTTCATTGTATATTTTAATTTGTCCCCAGTTGTTCACACTGCTTCTCTACCAGTGAAATGAAGTGACATTCCCTTTTCTAGTAGGATTGGTACTATGCCATTAGACAAACTCTGGATTCTTTCACTGTTGATTCCAAATCTAACAGAAGCCAATGTGGCTCACGAGTGTTTACTTCTTTGTTTGTGCATTGGCATTATCATTGAACTTCACCAGTGAGAGAGCTTGCCAGAACTGAACACAAAATGTAAATGAAAGTAGATGTATTGTTGGAAACACTGGTAAACAGTTTCCGTGTGGCTGTACATCAATGCAGACTGGGGGCATATGGGGAAGTTACTCTTGTTTTGCTGTGAGAGCTCTGAAATATGCTGCAGTTTCACTGCCTGAATAACCCATAGGCTGAATCTGAAAATCACCATTTTTCATTAAAATGGCTTTGTGCCTCATGCCAGTAGTGATTGTCTGGCTGAGCAGGGACATCCGCTTTGACACCAAGAGTATGAGGGCTGCCTGTAGGAGGTTGAAATTCTAGTTTCCAACTTGATTTATAAGTGGTTTATACTTTAAGCTTTCCTGTTTAATAGTTAAATAAACTGTTTAATGTTTAAAAAGTAAAATTCTTCTGATAATTAAACCAGTATGCAGGAAAAAAGCTGAGCACAGCCACATCTTGGCTGAGCCTTTCAGTATGTTCCCACAGTTCAGATCCCAGTTACGCTATGAATGAGCTCCTGGTTGCAGAGCACTGTGGAAAGCCCATGTAACCCACTACCGTGAGCACTCACCTCATGACTGTATTTTTATATCCACTTGTCTCCTATTCACAAAAGAGACTGCCAAGATGGTTGGGAACACACTGCAGGGAAAAATACTGAATAATGTTGTGGAGGCAGATACATGGCCTGGCAGAATTTTCCGTCTACTTATTTCTGCTGTTGCTGTGTTACTGTGTAGATCCAAAACTGGAAGATGATTTACACAGACCATGTGTGCCACCTTGATTTTACATTCTGCCCTGGAATACACCCTGTTTGTGACACTCTGATGCTCTGGAAATTATAATGGTACCCAAATAGTGACAGTCATCAAAACCGCCTACTTTTAGCTATCAAGGATATCTGGCTCTTTCTCACTGTCTGCGGGGCACATCACTAAGATCTACACTTGGTTCTAGGTAAAACAGTGTTTTGTTTTCCTTTTTACTATAAATAGTGCAGCACAGGAGTGGGAGTCAAGGGAGTCAGAAAGCAAGAACCCTGCTGATACAAGCTCCTTGCCCTGCAGCAGCCTTCTACAGGTTATCAGGAAAAGTCTTTCCTCTTGCTGCATTCAGAACATGTTAGAAAAATCTTGCAACACCATATCATACCATAATCATAGAGAAGATAACAGCATGCATCTGTCAAATAGCCAGAATAAGAGGGTGAACTGCATCCATTCTGTTTCTGTGATATGTACAGCATTGTTAAAAGCAGGGTAATACATTTTTATAGTAGTGAGAGGCAGAGATGAAGCTGAGTATGTAATTCAGCCTCAGTGCTATGAAGGTTAGTATTATGTGCAGCCCATAGCAGCATGGCTGTAGAATGGCTATAGCTTGAAGTAGCAAAACAATACAAAGTGGTTTTGGGGAGGGGGAGAAAATCCCTAATCAAAAAAGCAAGTACATGTAGATGGAGATCCTGGCTGATCAAAAAGTTGCAGTGTTAGTGGAAGGTGTTGAAGTGGGTAAAATAAAAAGCAATTAGTCACCAAGGAGTCTGTGTAAAAGCAAGATATGGATTTGATCAGCCTCAGAATAGTTCACGTGTGAAGATGGGAGAAACAAGTAGGCAAGAAGAAATGGTGATAGGCAATTTTAGGAGCTCCTGAGAGAGGGTAGTGTAAAGGGTGTTACTGTCTTGAAAATTGCTGTTGGCTCCTTTGTGGCAGTGTCTTCTAAGCTCATTAGCAAGTTAGTGATGATTTTACCGGCCCAGTTACTTTGCTGAACCTTTTCTTGCATTTAGCGTTTTTGTTTGCTCATACTTTATTGGAAGGGGTTTTTCAGGAAGGCTAACCTTTAAAAAAAAAAAAAAAAAAAAAAAAAAATTGACCCCCAAATACTTTCTGCCATGCAGGCATGCTCCAGAAATGGCCATCAGCGATTCCATCTGGATTTCTCTGCTTTTTGAGCAGAGGCCTCCATGCATCATATACCCTGCTGTTTATAGAGGTGGCTGTACATATGGCATGGAATCTCAGCCAGGGTTTGAAACTGCCTGTGCTATGCAGGCACAGTGGGAGCCTTAGGAATTGAACTTCATTTATGGAAGTTGTCCGTGGGTCTTGGAGATGCCTTGGCTTTCTGTGGCCAGAAAAGATTGCTGAGCACAGCGGATGAGTAACAGCCAGGTGAGGCACTGGTAGCAACAACTTCTGTTATATTAACATAGTTGGAAGAAAACTGCCTTTGCTTGCTTTGCTGAACAGTAACTTGTGAACTACCTGAGGTTTCCTTGTGACCCTTTGACAGTCAGGAAGCACAAGTGCCCCTTGTTGTAACTAACTATTGCATGAAATATACCATGTAGTACTCATGTTAAAATACTGAGCAATTCAGGTGAAAGAGAATCTGATATCTAGCCTGGAGGAGGGTCCTGTGATTGAGAAAGAAAAGAAATAGTCTTCTAAGATTACCCTTTCTACAATAGACTTTCCTGCATGAGTGACAAAAATTACGTGTGGTGCTGTTTATTCTGGCTTCCCCAGATGGTCAAAATCCTGCTGATTTTTACATCTTGTATTGGCCCCTGGTATGTAGACCCTTCTCTCCAAACATGGCTCACAAGGGACACTCAAGAGAAATGTTGCTTACAGCGAGCAAGCCTGAATCCTCTCTTTGGCTCTTACTACTTATGCCTGCAAAAGCAATGGTAAGTTTTTTCATCATCATTGAGGGTGTAGGGAAAGTCCGAAAACTCATGTACAAGCTCCCTGCAGGCCCAGGCCTGATGACCCTTGAGTGTCCTGTTTGCCATGTACCTCACAGTTGAAGGAGTCATCTTTTTATGACCAAAGTTAAGACTGCAGACTGAAAAACAGTGCCTTCAAGGAGGCCATGTTATGACATACAGGAGCCAACTGCTTTGTTCTGAGCCCTCCAATCAGTTTATACTCAAATATCACTAAAATCAGTGTGGTGACTCCTGTGAAACAAGAGTGGTAGATACTGTCTTGTTACATGGAACTTCATTGCTATCACTAGGGTCTTTTCAGCAGCCTCAGCAGAACTGCCAGAAATATAGAAAGGCAGGACTGACTGACAGTTTCTCTCCTCAAGGTGATCTGTGTGGAAAGATGTCAAGGAAAATTGACAGCAGCATCTGAAGGGTCATTATCTGCGATCATCTTTTCCTGTGATGTGCAGGCTCTAATCTCTCAAGCAGTTTTCATTAGTAGTTTATCTACTGCAGTAATTAGAAGAGTACAGTTTTATGCAGTACAACTTACTCCCATCGACAGCCCAGGGTCTGGTCCTGATGGCTTGTTCTCTCCTGAATTCAGTGGAGTCTTGCTTCACACTAGAGTGATTGTGAGCAGGCTCAGGACAAGGCAAGCTGAAAGGCGGCTTTCAAAGGATTTCCCTTGCATGGGAGGATGTGCAGACTAGACCAGAGCTCCCGGAGCCTGGCCCTTGAAGCTGATGTAGGCTGAGGTAGTTGTTAGGGAATGGTGCTCCCTGTTTGCAGAGAAGTATAAGATCAACCAAACTGGTCATGCTCTTGAGTTGAGACTCTGTATTATGGTCATGGTCTAGGCACAGCTGGTGTGTTCTCAAGTCCTGCATAGAACCAACAAGACTGTTCTGTGCACCCTTTGCAAGTACATGGGACTTTCTTTCAGGAGATCACAAAGCACTTCATAAGTTCAAGTATTTGCTTTGATAGATGAAACCTGGAAATAGTGAGTGATTCCTGAAGATTAAAAGCTGATCAGAGGCAGAGCAGAGAACTTAACTAACACTCTTGTCAGCTGCTTTGTCATTTTTCCTAATAGGTGTTTGCAAAAAAACCCAACATTAAAGTAACATTTACAGATGGCTGATTTTGAAGTATAAACATCTAAACTAGCACATTTACTGTTCTGCCTAACAGTGACCAACTTTTTGATATTTTTTTTTCTAGGAACACCTGTCTGGTTCTTTGTGAAAATTGCTCCAATTCGAAATGAGCAGGATAAAGTGGTTTTATTTCTTTGCACTTTCAATGACATAACGGCTTTCAAGCAGCCCATTGAGGATGATTCATGTAAAGGTTTGTCTTTTTCACAATTATATCTTTATGCTGCTTCTGTTTGTTTGCCCTGGTCTTGAAAGAGCTGAAGTCCTTTAAATACCAAAGCCAAAGAATTAGATGTTAAAATAGCTTGTAGCCATGCCATTGGGGACTGCATTTGTGCAAGGAATGGTTGCTGGTTTAAGTGAATTGGCTCTGGCCTGCACTGGAAAGGGTCATTGCTAATGAAACCCCCAAGTGCTTCAGGAAGCAGAGTTTACTTAGCAAATAGGTGCTGCTCTTCCTTTTAAATTCATTATTAGTGCACACTCCAGCATAGCCTTCAAGGAGTCACAATGTTGCTAAACAGTCTCTTTGATGTCAGAGGGAACTGAAGAGTTTGGGGGCCTGTACAAATTGTGCATGACACTGTATGCAAAAACTGAGGAATTAACCCTGTATGAGTCTAGCAAAGATCTGAATAATTTCATTCTGCCTGGCTTGATGTTACTTACCATTATTATGGGATTCCTTCCATTCAAGTTCTGGACTAGTTTCCTTTAACATATGTGAGAGATTCCCATTGTCTTAAGTTGAATCAGGTTTAAGCTGTCCTGGTGATTGAAGTAGCATTGCTGTGTTTTGCTGTTAACCCTTTGCTGAGTTACATGCTGGAAACCTGGAAGCAAAGTCAGCTGTGACAGCAGCATAAACTTGCACTCAGGTTCAGATCCCATCAAAAATAGACCTTTTGTACCCATATGGAGCATTACAGAGACTTGCGTCCTCTGGGGTAAAAAAAGACGTAAGTTCTCCTGTTGTTTGCATTTTTGTAGTATTTAATAATATTTGTAGTATTAAATTAAACAGGAAACTTGCTGTGAAGGTGAACTGATTTACATTTATGCTCAAAATGTTATTCTTTAAAAACATAGTTTCTCAAAGTGGAAACACCTGTTACCGTGAAAAAAGAAGTACAACCTTGACAAACATACCCTCTTCCAGGCTATGTGGGTTATTTTTTTTCTTTTTAATGCTATTTGTTTGGTTCTTCATTGCTTTAATAAAATTAAAAAATTTATCTTGTCAGAAAGGTTGGGTCTAGAGTATTTTTTTTTCTTTGCCTAGTGGTCTTCACTGTATCCTGACGAGGACTGACAGCAAAGATAAATCAGCATGATGCAGTAAAGCTGGTTCTCATTTATTTGCTGGGAGTGAAGGCCCTTGCTTCATTTAGTCAGTTGATAAGTCAGTCAGGGGTGGTAGCTGTGTCTTTTCTCTTTGCTTTCACAGAAGATCCTTAATGTGGTAGTGATATGCACTTTTGTGAAGAGTTTGTCCTTCACTTTCAACACAAGGAAACACTGTAACTGTTTTGTTTTCAAGAGAAGTATGTGAAGGAAGGGAACATTAATGTTTTTGTAAAATCTCCTTTGGATCTTGAAATCATGCTGTTCTTACAGTGATCATAGTAATTCTTAGCAGTTCCATATCTAAAGCAATGTAAGCACTAAACCTACATAAAAGTGCACTAACTTGCAGAGGAGTTAAGATGATAAGCAAAATTTCTTCTTCTGGCCCACGGAAACTGGCTAAGTGACTAACAAAAGTTGCAGACAGAAGAATTGGATGTATTATTTAGAGGCCACTCACAGCTATGTACTCCTTCCCTGAGTACTATGACTTTATGTACAGAAGAGTTTATGCACTAAATGAGTCTTCCAAATATTGTTTCTGAATCTCCTAAAATTAATGAAGTTGCATCAGATTCATGCTGGTAAAGAGTTCTCTGTCATTGTATACACAAATCAAACATGATATAAATGAAGCTGCACATTCTGTTCTAATCCTTAATTTATCCCCTATGCCTGCCTTTCTTCCATAAGTTACTTGCTATAGGCTAGCTTTGGAATTTTGTGGAATGCATCTCAGGAAGTGATATTGTATCAGTCACTTGATGGCTAGATGAGCAATTTCTTGGAAAAGAAGAGCTGATTTGTCAAACAATTAAAGAATTTTACATATGTGATGATGTCTTTAATATTAGATCTCATTGTGCAATTGTATACTGTGGTGGTGGGGGAAAGGCAGGTATGGAGTATCAGACAGTTGTCCGTAGTGGGCTCTAGGATTCACGGAGGGGAAAAACATTTCCAGAAGATCTAAAAAAGGTAAAATTGTATTAGCTTCTTCTAAGAATCATTGCTTTTACAGACCTGAGCTTTGAAGAGGGCATATACTTTGCAACATGTACAACGTTACATAGGAATTTTGTAGCATGCTTCTGAAGAATAGCAATTTTCGTAGGAATGTTTCTCATAATCTAAAACCAAATGAAGTCCCTATCTGAAAACCTAGAACGGTGAACTTAGAGATATATTGTTTAGTTGAAACAACTGAAAACTGATTGCTAAATCAATTATTTTTCCTTCTTTCACCTTCAATCAGCTTTTATCAACTACTTTTCCATTACTGTGTTTATATGTGAAATGAGTTTCCTGTGCATATGACCACTTAATATGTAATAGGCTGCCTGCAAATGCAGCTGTTTTATTAACACGTGTGCTATTTGCATAGTTGCAGAGTGGCATAGCATAAAGTATTTAGGTTTTTCAAAATCAATGCCTGTATGTCTATGTAGAGAAAAAATGTTATGTAGTACAAGAATATGATCAATTTATAGAGCAACTAATCTGTCAGACTAAACCTGCTTAGGTGTCATATATCTTAGTTTTCTATCACCTGCTGGCAATTTCAAGCATGATCGTTTAGCCACAAATGATGTAGTGACTCCTTGAGTGAAAAGTGTTGAGCTCTAATGACAGGTGTTTGACTTGTACACAAAAATGAATGGGCATCTGTTAGCCAAAGGTGTCTCAGAGAGATAGAAGGTCCCAGTACCATTTTTCATTCTTAATTTTTTTTTATTAATAATATCAGACATTGGTGATGAAACAAAAAAATATTTCTGAATTTGTGTAAAAAGTAGACTTCTAATTGTAGTCTTTGTTAATTGATTCAGATAATTTAGATGATGTTTATTTTAGGACTGCCATAGAAGTTAAGTAAATCTGCTTTTAAATGCAGCAGCTTTAAAAATAGTGCATTCTAAATAAAACAACTTAAAAATAGTGTGTCAGTGATGTTGATGATACAGTATTTTTAAACAGCCTCTTTCCACTCTTCCCTGTATGCTTGCCTCTAAAAAAAAAAAAACAACCCAGGAAAAAATAGGTTTACTTGAATAGAAGTAGGCAAAATCAAGCTATAGCATAGCTAAATTTGGCTTGTGAAGTGCTAGGTCACCTTCTTAGCTGAATTTTAGACTATATGCTATATTTGGAATTCATGCATTTTGTCTGTATATGTCTTTTTTGGTTTGAAATCTAACACACCAAGTATGAGATGTTTGAGAATAGTGTATAAAGTGGAATGCATCACTTTATGAGAACAATAATTTGTGCAGACAAATAGAATCTGTGCCTGCACTCTGAGTAGCTAGTAATAAGTTTGCCTGAACAGGTTTTGCATATATGAATACAATGTGAACATATTCAGATGCATCTATGCTGCTTTATAAAAGTTTGGAAATTATGCTTTGGATCTTAATTTTTGCTTTTGATATTTTGTTTTTATACAAAAAGGTGATCAAATTCAACATCACTGAACCTTAAGAGAATGGTTGTTAGCCTCCTGTTGTAACCTCCTAAGCTTTGTAACAATCATCGGTTATCATCTCCTCTGCAGAAGAAGCTTTATTTCATTTTGCAGCTAAGCTATCCTTTGCATCACAAGCAGGCCTACACAAAAAATACTACTTTGATTGCCTCCTTCATCTTAATTCAGGGAGAACTCCAAGTGTTTCCTTTCTTTTCCCTTTTGTTTCTTTTTTTTCTTGTTGTTGCTGTCTAACTTTTTGTTCTGTTTTTAAAGATGTATTTGTATGAGCAGAGCCAGTGTTTGAAATATTTTGATTAAGTTATGCTCTTACTTTCATCTAGATGAAATATTTTCTTAAAAAAGGAAACAAATGAAAGGGAAGTGGTAAGTATGTTAAAAAACTTTGGTATGCTTTCCCAGTCCAGATGGAAAAATAAGACTATTTTAGTCATGAAGTTTCAAAGGGAATAGCTGTTAAGACTGTACAGAGGTATGATGGATGTAAGCAGGGATCTTTGATGTGCAAGAAGACAATGGTGGTTTGAGTGGAGGCAAGAACTGCTAGAATCCTGATTTAGTTGCATTTACACAGTTCTGTGTCAACAATAGACCCGTGACCAAATGAGCTTATTCTCTAGCAGGCAGTGGTTCCTTGTTCTAACTCTAGGGATTGTGTAAGTCATGGATCAGCAGCTTGATAACAAGGGTTCTGTAACTGCCACAGTTCCTAATGTTTGAATTTACAAGTCATCATGATCAAGTTGAGGAGAGTGATAGGAAACAAATAACTACCTACAAATAAATAATAAATGTTGTTGTGGATTGAGTATCAATAGATCATGCTCACCTCAAAATACAGAAAATTGGCTTCTTCAACTTAAGAGCATTGTTAAATGAAGCTTCATTCCTTAAATAAGAGAAGTCTTGATGAGTTAAACATCACATCACAAAGGTGTATTTCAATGCCATGTTACCCCATGAAACAAAGCTCAGAGGACAGTTTTTGTCCCTGTTGTAGGCACCTTGTCTTCTTGGGTGTTTTCCGAAGCAGTTTCTATTCAGCTCTTTGCAATGAAATGGTGGAAAGCTGAAAGAGCATCATGGAATGCAGGACAGCTGAAGTCAGTGCTGTTAATCTTGAAGGCTCTTCATCCTTTTGAAGCTGAAGATGTTTTAGTGCCAGCTCATTGCTTTGTCCTTGCATGATGTTTTCTGCAGAACTGAAAAAGGAGACCAAACAATGATAAAAATGGGTTAGAATCAAAGACAGAGGCACAGGCAAACACAACCATGGGGCTGGCATCTAGCTTTATGTTTGGTTCCTGAATTCCAAGCTGTCTTCTCTGCTATGTAAGCTCTTGTCTGTTTGACAAATATATACACCTATATGAGAATCACTTAGGGTCATTAGATTTCAATTTAATTTATATTTTCTCTATCTCTAGAGGAAAAGAATGGATGTAGGGATATACCAACTGCTTGTGTTAAAAGAGAATTCCTAATCCATATCATCTGGTCCCCCATCCTCGCAGGACTGACATCAATATATTCTTACACCATTATGGAACCTAGTTTCTCATCTTGGAAAGCTCCATCTTCTTCCTGTAATCAGCTCCATGACCCTTAGAATTTAATTTTTATGTTCTCTCCTGTGGCTTAAGTCCATTATTTGACCTCTCTTCACTGGATAAATATCTGACTTGCTGTAGTCTGTGTCTGTCCTTAGGCTTCTGGAGGAAAAATCGCAATAAATTCAACAGGTACTGCTGTCTTTCCAAGCAGTGTTGGAGAAGTTATCATTCAATAGGATTACTACTGGCATTCTCTCTCATTTTCATTTTATTTTTCCTATGCCACAATCTGCAGGTCTGCTATAGCTACACTTTGAAGTTCCCACGTTTTTGTCTTCCTTTCACACACACACATACACACGCACACACAAAAGGCAATGCAAGGAGGAGAGTGTTCTGTCCTAAAGATGAGATTCATACACCTGGGACATCAGCATAGTGATTCAGTGCCTGGTTTTAGGCATATCATCACACAGTGGCATGTGCAACTCCAAGCTTGGCTCCCATGTGCTGTACCCAGTGTATGGAGAGAGGTAAGGTATGTACTCCCAGTCTGCCATTTTCAGGTCAGCACTGACCAAAAAGCCAAGCTAAAAAGCCCTGCCTCTTGACACAGTCTCTTGCCCATAACAAACAGTTCTATTGTTTTCAGATCAGAGTTCAGAGTCTATGGTGAGAGATCTAATGTTCGTGGGAACAGTTCTTTCATGTACCATTTAGGCACCCACAAATGAGATTTGCAACATGTAAGGCAGGGGAGGTGCTTGTAGGGGATGCTGAGGACAGAGGAATGGGTTAAGCTGCACCTTTCAAAAGGAGATGGCTCTTGGGAAGAGGGAGAGGTACTCGAAGGTGCTCAGCAGTCATAGCCACAAATCATGCCACAGAGATGTCTGGCAGTGCTTTTGTGCAAGAAAGCTCAGGTGAGGTGCTTCCTTTTACTCCTCTCTCTGTTTATATCTGAATAGCCCAATTCTTAGAAAACTCGATGGCAGGAAGAAAATACACACTGAAAGTTTGTCCCCAGGTTTCGAACCAAATTTTGAATCTTCCAGGAAAATGCCCTACCCCGTCGGTCTGTTTTGAGTTGGTAAAAGGGGCTGTCTGTGTTAGCTGGCATTAAAAACATTACGTGTCCGGTGAGGCAGGCAGATTTCGAGTTCCCATGTGAAGCTCGAGCTCTGTCGTCTTTTTTTCTGTCTGTCGTCAGGGCTGCCGTTTGCAACCCAGCCCTGCTCGGCTGCAGCCGGCGCGGCGCGGCGGGGCGCGGCCTTCGCTTCAGCACCATGGCCAGCACCGCGGGCAGCGGCTCCCGCCGCGCCGCGCCGCGCCGCCCGCTCCCGGGGCACCCGTCTGCCGCGGCTGGGGAACGGGGCTGTCGTTCACAGCCTCTCGGGACAAACCCCCCTCGGGCCTCGTCCGTCTGGCTTTATGTCACTGGAAGTATACCCATGCTGATAGCCTTCTGCCACGGTCCTGTAAAACAGTAAGAAAACATCGTGGTGCTGGCGTGCAAGTTCTGCGAAAGCGAAGTTTTAGGTTGGTGTAAGTTGCTGTAGCTCTGTTGGCTTTACAAAGGCTAGTCTGATTTATATCAGCTGAAGATTAGCCATTACGAGTGGTTTCTCCCACCTGATCCGTTCTTTTAACCTCTACTGGCTTTACTCAAAGTAGTAGGGCCTTCAAGCCTTAGTTTATCAATTGTAGTTGGATTTCTTCATGTACAGTAGAGAAAGAACACTCTTTATAAATATATCTTTAAAAAAAACCCCAAACCCCACCACCTGCCATGGAAATGTATTGTGAGAAATCAAGTGCTTTGGGTCAGGTTTATAACAGATACAAACTGGCCTCGCTTGAGGTTCTGTCATGTTGATGTATTTCTCTGAGAAATACTCCTTTAGTATGGTAGCTAATCTTACATGGGTTTATCAGGAAAGATCTGGCTTCCTGGATGGAAATCGTTCAGTCTACTTGTTGCTGAATACTGCCCAAAAGTGTTGGCTAATTCTAGTCAACTTGGCTATTAAATTATCACTGACAGACTTGCTTTAAGGTATAAGAAAATATTCAATTTTATTCTTGATTTTGGAGAGGTTGGATGGATTTGGTCCTCCCCTTTAATAAATGCACCATTTTGCATATTTGTAGAGGGAAAAATGCTAAACTCCCTTTTCAGGTCTGCCCTGAAAGATCTTGTTCAATACTGGATCCATGTAATTTGTTTATTTTTTGTGCTCACCTCTCAAATAACTAAATATGTTCCTGCAAACTCCATCAAAGTGAGATGCCAAGGAAAGATATGTTCAAAGTACTCGGCAATATTTTAACCACCCATATTCCTGTACTTGTCATGGATCACTTGCAGGCTAAACTTCAGACTGGTCTTTAAAACCGGTCACTGCTAATAGTATCATTTCTTTTGGTGATAAAACCATAACGTGGAGGAAACTTTTTCCAGAACCAGGTTGTTGTTAAGAACTGAATCTGCAAAGTGCTGAGCATCCTCAGCTGGAGTAGGAGGTGAGACTACTCAACAGTTCCCAGGTGGTGCTAGCATTTTCAAGACTGGGACTAAATGCACTGATACTTTCATTTCAGAGTATCAAAAATATCCAGATGTGTACTCTGCCTGACTTTCTGTTATGGCAAAGTACTGCTCGTAAAGGTTATAGCTGTAACTAGCTCTTATGACGGTCATTTGAAGTCTTCTGTTTTGAGGGGTATTTGAAATGACTGTAAAAAATATTCTGAATTAAAATTCAGCATATGACTTCTCTGCCGGAAGCTGCTAAATGTTTTATTAGAGTTTGAAAAAATCTATTTGTATATTTCCCCCTTTTGTTTAGAGAGAATAAAATTAATGATTTTGTTTTGCTTTGTCTGCTCTGCTTTTTATTATCTTATGTATATTTCTCTGCTTATGCCAGATCTATGCTTGATACATCTGAGGCCAGATTCACTTCTGTTACAGGCAACTGTAATTTTTCTTGTGCGTGATTCTAGTCTTACACTGTGATTAGTCTGGAGTGCCTTCTGCAGTGCTGTGACATCCAAATCTGGCCTTTGGATTTAATAGAAGGTTATTGTAAAGTGGACATTTATCCTTACAAAAGATGCAGTTCATGTAACAGCACTCTTGTAGAGCCATTGAATACAAAGTCACTGCAGTCATGGGTTTTATTACTTTACCACCCTGACACCTGTTTTGTGACTTGCTTTTATCTTGCACTTGGTTAAATTACATTCCCTTGTGGCCAATATTAAAGCAGATTGCTCTGTTTTCTTTTTTTTTGTTTTGTTTTTTTTTTGTTATGAGAGGCTTTGTGTGGTATACTTGCAGCTTTTTTTGGTAATGTGTATAATCTTGCATGTTTTCTCAAGGTTGGGGAAAATTTGCTCGCTTGACCCGTGCCCTCACAAGCAGCCGAGGCGTGCTGCAGCAGCTTGCTCCGAGTGTGCAGAAAGGAGAGAACGTTCACAAGCATTCACGACTTGCTGAGGTAACGTTTGCTTTCCCTGAGAGACCGTAAAGAAATGTTTTTAGCCTTTGTGGGTATGTTGCCTCTGTGTGAGCCAAGCATTGTCTGTCCCCCTTGCCCTGGGAATTTGAAGCCTGGTGCTGGCATGGGAGCTCAGAATATGGCACATGTGCTGTGAAATGTGTCCCGTGACAGTGGAACGGAAACAGGTCTCCAAAAGACTTCATGTAACCTAATTGCAGCGTTGTTCCATATCTCAGCAAAGTCTTATAATGGCGTTATTACTGAAGTAATAGTTTCTTGCTTAGTTTCCATTCTTCTGAGGATCTCAATGTTAGTAGGAACTTGGACTATTCGCTTGTGTAAAACTGAGGTGAGAAAAACTCAGGCTAGTACAGAAGGGAATTCTGGAGAATCCTTGACACGGTTGTTCTCTGCATTTATTTATGTCTGGTTCTTTTTCAGTGGGATCCCGATCCTGCTTTACAAACTGGTTAAAATGTATGTTTGAGCTACTGGTTTTATGGACAGAACAGCTGTAAGATACCACAAGCCACACTGCAGACAGATGAGCAAAATGAAACCTTGTGATTTAAGTAGACTCTCAAAGTTTTGAGAAAAGCTCCAGGCAGAGGCGGCTTCTTGAAGTACTTAGGGTTTTAGGGCTTTCACCACGAGGGGGAGAGACTGTCCCAAGTTTCCTGTAGCTATCTCCTGGGCCAGAGAAAGTGTTGATATGGTGTTAACGATAGCATGGCCAATATAACATGGCACTTCTGTGTCACCTATTGTTTTGAATGCCATGGCAGCGGCTGTGACTCTTGTCAAGAATTCTTAATCTTGCTGTGTAGCTGGAGGTGTAAGCCATTGGTGGGTTCCATGGGGTCTCCATATAGTCAGTACTCTGTTAATTTTGCCCTGTATACGTCTTAGCTTCTAGGCAAAATAAACAACTCCTGCCCAGGCCTGTATTATTATCACATGTGATGATGAAATTCCCACAGACAGGACGTTACCTATTCAGTATGTAACACAGATGCACTCAAGAATGGAAAACTGATTTCTGCTGGAAGTACAGAAATAACATAGATCATACTAGCACAGGGGAGGGGCAGACATTCACATGGACACTATGCTGTAGGAATACCATGTGATTATCACATGTCCACCCTGAGGTTGCTTTAGTGTCCTGGAATTTGGAATAGTCTCCCTCCTAATCCTACTCAAGGCTTAGCATCAAATAATCCTTCCTTCTCTTTTGATGTCTACCCTTGAATTTTAGTTCATGCTAAAATGTAGGCAATAGAATGCAAGACAAAGGGTCTGAGGTTATTCTCTTTGGCTCAGTGAACCTCAATCTGGACCTAAGTGACTACACATTACTGAGACTTCTTGCAAACCGATGTGCTCAACGAGTCTTTGCAAGTATTCTAACTAGCATAGCCAGTTGATTCATTAGAAATAATAAAGAGCAAGTGTATAGTTTACATATCTGAAATTAGTTTCTTTAATTGCTGACTGAATATTGCAGTCATTATTTTAAAAAGATTAGCCCCAACTGTGATGCTAGGTACCTTGTTGTATATCTGCTGTAATTCCGCTTAAGTCAATAGAACTACACTAGAGAAAAGCAGAGTGCAGATAATCATGTAGACAAGCCCACTTTTCTTCCTTTGAAGACATATGGGGTGCCAGGCTTCTTATTCTGGAAAGGTCTCTCAATAATACTGAACACGGGATCTTTAACTGTTTCCTGTTGCATTTTCAAATCCTTATTTTTTTTCTTCATCTCTGCAGTAGCCTATTTGAAATCTTAAGTTCAAATTAAAATTAATCCTTCTTCTTTTCCTTCTTACTATGACATTTCACATCAATCTTGTTTGCTCGAGAAGGCTTTTCATTTATTGGAATATTATTTGTGTTGCTCTTAGTTCTTTATCACTTATATTTTTGAATACCTGAGGAGCTAGTTGTGTCCTAGAACCTGAGTGGGGCAAGGTGTTGTACAAATACAAAACAGGAGTCTGCCACAAAAGCTTACAATTTGTTCTATTATTTATGAAATATTAGTTTAAGAAAGGTGTTAGTGACAAACAACTTTGTTTTATCCACAGGCCATGGCTAATACGAGCAGTGTCTGTTAAACCTCCTCTGTCTTTTGCCAGTATGTGTAGATTTTTTTTAGCCTGACTTCTCTGACAGCAGTCATATGAAAACGGCTTAAATTAATTATGCAATTAATGCAAGGGAGTTAGGTAACTCAGAGTATGTTTTGCAATAAGAGTGTAAAGTAATTGATACATTTCTGTGGCTTTATCACCAAGAAGCTGATTGTAGGAACCATTCTTCCTGGTCGCTGCATAGTACATGTGTCCTCTGCACCTGTGGTGTTAGCTGATGTATTCTATATATTTACCAGGCAGTTCTGCGTAAACAAGATTGTGTCATAATTTAAAAAATGTGATAGTTATAATTTTTCTGCTTTTATTTCTTATAATGGTGCTTAGCAGCACTGCTTAATAATGAAACTTGGGCCTTTTTTTTGGCAAACTTTGTTTACCAGGGACTTATAACTGCCATTAAAATCTACTTCAAGTTGAGGCTTGCCACCTAGCTCTTGGCTTGGGAGCAATTTGCGTGGATGCCTGTGAAAACAGAAGCAAGGGAGAGCAAGAGAAAGCAAATATGTGCAGTTGAAAACACAAAAGGGAGAGATTAAGCTGAAAATGAATGACTGTGTTGGGTCCCCCCCCTCAGTCATGCAGTCTTAAAAATAAATAAATCATTTTAACCACTTGTTGATGCACTTTTATGAGTCCTGACTGGCGATATATTCACTATTTTTTAACAAATCTAGGATAAAATTCTTTTGTTATGTTAAAATAAATGAACACAGACTTGTGAAACCCATGATGAAATTTGTCATTTCTGCTCTTGAAATAATATTCTCTGGCTTTAGAGAGCTATTAAAACATCATGCGTTATTACCACAAATAATAAACGCAGATAATACAACTGTAGTGGCTGGTGAATCATAAGTAATTGGAATAACACTTTCATTAATAACTTTCTGAAACAAATGTTTCTTTTACTATGGTATAACTGCATAATAGGGAAAAATCTTCAAAAACCACAGCTGTTTTGGTTATTTAGAAAATGATAGTAATGAAGGGTTTGTTCAGTGCACATGGGTGGAGGCTCAGTATATCAGTTTATATAGTTGTGTACATTTTCTTCATGATTACTTTTATATTAATCTCTTGGGGTTTTTTTTCCTCTCCAGGAGAAGTACCTTTAAAAGCAGTTTGAATCTAGTTAGCTCATGTGGGTGGGTAACCACACCTGACTGCTTCAGCAAATATTGTGTCTCAGGTTGGCACTACTCTCCCTGGAGGCTGGAGTGCAGCCAGATCACCTTGGAATAGGGCAGAAGGTACTTCTCTTTGTATCTACCTGGCTTTGCTGTATGGTGCAGAGAATGGGGTTTATAGCTCTTAATTTCCAGACAACCCAGGGGTGGGGTGTGTGTCTGGAAGGATGATGAAGAAATAGACTGTGTGTGGCCCTTGGTGTGAAAAGTGGAGAAAAGAGCTCTCCTAACTTTCAGTGCAGCAGCCTGACAAAACCTAGATCTTTAGCCCTGAGCTCTGTGGACCTCTTTCCATTATTTCTGTACAGCACTGAGCTCTCTTACTCTACTTAATGCTAAAAGCAAATGCGTGTTCTGTGAAATAATTAAGCTTCATTATAGGTGTTTTTCTCTTCCTTCAATGAAAAGAAGAATTTGATGCCTTTGAAAGCTCTTGGCTGGCAGTCCTGAGGGCTGCAAGACCTTTGCCAATCTGTAAAGCAAGTTGCCTTTCCCGGGAGAGGTAGTGTGAGCTGGGACACTGCCCTTCTTCTATATCAAGCTGTGAAATGACAGTTCATCTCTCTACCAATGCCGGGAAGATGGAGTGGTTTTACAAGGTGCCCGCTAGTGATGTAGTGAGAGGGAGCCAGGGCTAGAACTTTTCACCCCCACCGAAATAAAAGACCTGAGACACCTCAGGCTTGCTGTAGGTGGTTTTCTCCACCTTGTGAGTGATTGATACCCTTACGTCATTCCTTGATACCCATCTCCTGCCCTGTCCCTGCCCCTCCTTTCGAGATTTACACCCACACTGCTGGTGCACATCCTTCCACTGGAGACCAGCTAAAGCCATGGCCCCTGGTCACTTTAAATAGCTGTTGGTAGAACTTAACCAGAGACTCCAAGGTGGTAACAGAAGTTCAAAGGCTTATCAGTAAGGTCCTTAGCCATTCAGATAGTTTAGAGTACATTTACTTTCTAAATAAAAAGGGAAGGAGACATCAATCCTTTTATTTTCCTGTGCTGTAGCCCTTGAACCTCAAACAAGCTAGGGGAGAGTGCTTTGTACTTGGTGATGACATTTTAAAACACTGAAGCACTAAAGTTGTTTATTTTCTTAATGAGTTGAAACTAGAAGTCTGTTTTTCTCTGCATTCAGTTCAGTTTTATGTCCCTGCAGTTCCACTGGCTTTACTGTAATTTTGTTTGATTTACAGCAAAATAACAGGCACCATAATTTGGCCCCTTTATTGCCAAACAGAGATTGTTCTTGCCTTTCTTCCTGTTATTCAGGTATATGGCAATATATTAGTACATTTTCCAGTAACTTTAGTTTGGATGATGCAGAATTTCCACAAGTTCTTGAAGTACAAAGAGACCAGCAGTGGCCAAAATGGAGTGCATTATACAATTCTCAGTCTAGAACTTTTGTATGTATATATAAGAATCAATCTGACAAGAACTAACAAAATTATTTTTTTCAGTGTTTCATGGTTGAGGTTCCTGTGACAATTAGAATGGTCACAAAAATGTTTGACTTTTTCCTATAATAACAGAGGCTAAAAAAATAAGCTCTAGGAGACATGTGATTGCAAAGAAGCAATTATGTTTTCGCCCTGCATTTAAGGGGTGATAGAATCTCCCTATGCTAGTAAGATCTCAGCATTAGAATTGAAATACAGTTAACTGACTGAAAAATGTTACTATGTGATAGAAAGTGCTTGGTTTTGCTGATCAGTTATTCCAGTGAGTGAATATTGCAGAGGACTCTCCTTGCCCAGTGAAACACATTTCAGGCTTCAGATCTTATGTTAGAGCTGCTACTCATGCAAATCCTCATAAAAGTCAGTAGTAGGTCAGTGCTTTCCAACTGATTCAGGTACAGCTGCGATGTTCAAAAGGGAGAGCAGGAGGTATTTGCAATATTGATTTTGGGCTAGAGCTTTTGTCGAGAAAAGACATCCTAACATTTGTCACTGGGACTGCAAACAAGCTCTGAAGGGAGCAATGCTCTGAGTACACCTACTAACTCAGTACACAACCTATGCGTCCTTCCAGTCACTACCAGTGACTTCTGGGGACTGCATTGGCTGGCCAGTGCCTCCTGCGGAGAAGAGACTGCTTCTGTCTTGTGCTGCTTGCAGCTCCTCTCACCATAAGGCAACTTTTAAAAAAAATCTTTTTTGGTAGAACGGAGAACCTGCATGAATCAGGGTCAGGAGTGGCAGAGTAGTTAATACTGCAGTAGACATGTCTGAGTCCTAGTTTGGTCTGCAGGCGTTCTACTTAGGGGAAAATGTTCTTTTCCCTCTTTGCTGTTATACTAGAAACTCAGTGAAACAAATATACTAAGTCCTCTTATTTTTTTTCAAACTGTTGATGCCTTTGTAACACGCAGGTCTCCCTGAGCAAGTCATGCTATTTCTCTTCTGGAGAACTTACTGGGCTCAAAGTCAGCAGGCTTGCAACTCCCACTGTCATTTACACATGTGCAAGGGACTGTGATCTGACCATGTCTGACCCCTGTTGTGCACAAGAGTAAGTGATTATATGAGGTTCAAAGCAGCAGGGAACTTGATCTGAGGCTGTTTTGTCCAAGTAGGACTCTTGTAGCTGATTGTTTTCTTTTGTCCCCTTTGGCTTAATCTGTTGGAAAAAAGCCTACCAGTTAACAAAAAACGAATAATAAAAAGCATTCAGAAAAGCCTGCAGATAAAAATCCGTGTCTAAATAATTGACGTTAAAAAAGCTGAGATAAGGAGCATGAAAGGAAGACATCCTCTTATTAAAGCTATGTTGTCTGATCTTTTCCATGGGAAGATGGCCATTTAATTTCCTTCTCTGCTCCCTTGCTCTGAACTATGTGTAAATAAATGTGGAAAAGGAACGATGCTCCTAAATAGTTCTCACAGGTTCTATGCATTTGGCATTAGCAAACACATCTCACTCAAGCAAACCTCCATCTTCCTTTCAGTTTGCTCCCATAACTCACCCAGGGTAAATTTCATTTTAAAATTTAATTTGTCTTTATTTGGAGCCAGGTCCTTCATGTTGATTTCACCCTTGTGTATATCCATAGATATAAACAAACACATTCTTGTTCATAGATATGTAAAAGAAACTTTAGTTTCCAAGAATTAAATACATGCTCATACTGTTTTTGCACTAGTTTGCAGAACTGGAGAGACAGTAGACTTAAAATGGGCAGCATTGATTGAGATTGCAGTTATACAAAACACTTGGAGCACGTGCTCAGCTTGAGGTCCAGGGTTTAAAACACATGCTGACAGATCATCTTTTGCTGTAGCGCTTTTTTTTTAATTCATACCTAACTGCATTGTAACTTGACTGTACACCATCAGATAGTGAAGACGCTGATCTCCTCTCAGTGAAAAGTTAAAGTTCAAAATGAGTTTATTGAGGCTAATGATAGTTATACATGGACTTTGGTCCTGCATGGTCCAGAGAAGAGGAATAAAAGCCTATGCATTCGTGATAGATTGTAGTATAAGACTATTTCAGATACAGTATAGTGAAGAAAATAGACAATGTTGAAAAACAATGTGGTCCAGTGGTCCCAGCGCTGGACTGGAACTCAGAAGTTGCGGTATTTTTTCCGGGTTTTGCCATTGATTTCTCTTTGTAACTGCCTTTCTTCCCATCATTTATCTGTCTCATCTGTTTAGACTGCTGAAGGAGCTGTCTCTTCTCTATATGTCTTGGAGACCCAGCACATTAGGCTTAGTGTCAAAAAATAATTAATGGCATTAAAAGAAACAACAGCTGTTCTAAGGTTGATGCTGATTTGTTTAACAGAATACTTATCCTGACTTGCTTACCATTTGGTGATGATAAAATGAGTTAATGGACATGTATTTTTATCAACTGTTGTACTGACCTTGAGAATCTACGATGTGAAAAATAACGTTAAAATTAAGCATGTTTTCTTTTTCTCCTGAAATCTCTGTGACTACAGGTATTGCAGCTGGGCTCTGAAATCCTCCCGCAGTACAAACAAGAGGCACCAAAGACTCCGCCGCATATAATTTTGCATTATTGTGTTTTCAAGACTACCTGGGACTGGATAATCTTGATTTTAACCTTCTACACTGCTATTTTGGTCCCTTACAATGTCTCCTTTAAAACCAAACAGAACAATGTAGCATGGCTAGTAGTTGACAGCATTGTAGATGTCATTTTTTTGGTAGACATTGTGCTTAATTTCCATACCACCTTTGTGGGGCCAGCAGGAGAGGTGATCTCTGACCCAAAGCTGATTCGCATGAATTACTTGAAGACCTGGTTTGTGATCGATCTGCTCTCATGCTTGCCGTATGATGTCATCAATGCATTTGAGAATGTCGATGAGGTCAGTATACTAGTTCCACTTCCACCCATTAATTATTACTTAATGGTTGGGGGGAGGTGGGGGAGAGAAGAAAGAAATGTTTGCTTTTAAATATATTGAACTAGTGTACATACGTCTCTAGTAGCTGTCCTCACTGCACATCGAAGTTTGCTTATGAGTCCTAGCCAGAAAGGTCCATCTTTAACTGCACTGGGAGAGAGGCTGAGGTTTTTGGTGTCAGAAATCCGTATTTATTTTCCTTCATTCTACATCCTCAGAGTTCAGGAGGACAGGCAGAAGCAGGCAGCAGAACCTCTGTACAGCACTGAGGAAAACTGCTTCATCTGATTTACCATGAATAGCTTGAACTGGTGTGTCAGGGTAGTTTCTTTGGGCAGGGTTCTCTTGCTTTCACTGTTGACTGAACAGGTTATGTCCACTAATGGCAATTCTTCACATGAACAATTGGAAAGTATAATACACTTTTCTCAGCTGCTTCTAATACAATATAGCAGGTGGCAAAGAGGCAGACAGTGACTCACTAAATCTTCTTAGACCGCCAGAAAGTACTGTGTGGGTATCTGGTGATACATGCAGCATTGTGTGGCAACAGTTGTTTTAGAGGAAGGTGAAGCAATTAAAGATGCTGTTTTGATGCTTGTTTGGTAATTCCATAATTAGTCAAAAGGATAGGGAGAAATCTGGAAATCTAGACTCCTCCTTAATTCTTGCTTATTTCTTTGGGAACAGGTCACAAGCCAGCAAAAGAACTAACATTCGGACACTTAAATGCGCAATACTACCCTGTTTTAACTGCTTATTCTCCTACTGGATCAGGCTGCCAAGAAAACATTCCTGAACTAAATATATTAAGGTTCCATGCCTAAATAGTTCAGAGAGTTAATGAATTGTTAACAAAATCTTAAAGAGGATTCCAGCAATCCACTTTCTAATTACATGTTACAAAATCTGTACCAACAACTAATTATGTGTCTGTATTTATCTGTGACACATACTAAACCTGTAATATACATACACATCTCATTAGTGCTTAGTATTTAATTTTTAGCCTGTAAAATTTAATTTTTATGAGTTTCTTTAAAATATGCCCATGTTATAAAGGACAACCTAGCTATTAAAAGAAAATTATGCCAAGTGAAATATCTGGGTAAAAGCATAAAACCACATTACTCTTGTAAAAATACATTACACAGGTTTTTATCAAATTTAAAGTATTTAAAGTATTTTCCTCAATGACTTGAGGACGAGTAGGCAAACTACTGAATGTAGTGGAAAAAACAAGACATTATTTGATATTTAATTCCTTAGAGAGGTTTTCATTTTATATAAAGCTACAGACTGAAATAACACAAATGAGATCAAGTAAAAAAGCCTTGTGAGACCTGTCCTGTTTGTCATAAGAAGGACCCAGACTGCAGATTACTCTGCAGGGTTTTCACATACTACTTTGCTGTGGCACTGATAAAGCAGCGGAAGGAGTGGCTATATGTCAGTTTTGGACATTTAGACTGAAAGAGGAAAAAAAAAAAAAAAAAAAAAAAAAAAAGGCAAGAGACAAAAAAAAAAAGGAAGGAAGCTTTTCTCACCCACTGCAGATGGTATCAATTGGCTGATGATTTTGCTGGAGGAGCGTTTCATAACTGTAGACTGGTGATGTGACCTACAGAACATCCCTGAGGAAAATGTCTATGCCACTGGCTGTGACAGCCCTTGAGCTGAGCACAGGCGCTCTCAGACTCATGGTAGCAATTCTGCAGGGAGGTTCTTGTTGTGTGAGTTTGAATTTCTCCAAGTTCTCTGTCTCAGTGTTGCCTTGTAACAATGAGAAGCTGATTGGTACTTCAGTTTTCCTATGGCTCTTCAACAGTCTCTTTAATCAGTGTAATAGTGTTTGTTTTAGTTATTCTAGCTATCGTGCCCGAGGAAAAAACCATTTTTCTTGATGCTATTCTTTAAGACTGTTTGTCCCTGTTTTCCCTAGTGGGTTCTGACATTTAGCTAGTATAAATCATTGTCGAGTCATTAGAGCAGAGTTTCCACTGGTGTAAATTGCTGTACTTCTATTAAGGGCTCATAGACTGGTTTACAGGACCTGAGGGGCTTTGCCAGCAATGTCAGCAGAATAACGTAGTGCACATCAGGTGGGGATTTATGACAGTATATGCTGATCGCTGTTTCATGAACTGCCTGTAGAGAGAAAGATAACCTTTATTAAAGAAGGGGGGGGGGGGGCACATTGAAGGAGTCTTGAAAGTAGAAAGGCTTTGTGTTATATCTTCTCTGTTGCGTAGAGCATTCCCTTGTGGGTCAACTCCCTTTCTTTTGAACTTGCTGGTTTAAATTTTACCTGTCGCTCACCCTGGATTACACACCATACTACTTCACAGTTGATTGTCAGCTGCGAGGCTGCGCTGTTCCCCTTACAAGTAGCCAAACTGGATTGCTATCTGTGTGTCACTTTGATTTTGCTAAAGGGAATTCCCTTGGAGCCATGAGACTGGAGTTAGTAGGCAGCCATGGCTGCTGCAGAGATTTTTTTTTTAGTCCTATGTGAATACTCTTAAAAGAATCGCCAGAAAGTAAATGATACCTATTGTCAAAAGTGGTGATAAAATGAGATGGAGAATATGAATTGCTATTTTCCTGTTTTTATGTTTTCCATATATGATTTTAAACAGGAGGAAATAGGACCCTGGCTTTGTTGCAGTCCCTGTAGTGAAGGGGGACTGGGACAGGTGGAAGCTCACTGTTTTTTTTCTGCCTGCTGTCATTCTCTGTTAAAAGAAACTTCACTGAAGACACTGAGGATGTCATGGAGGAACTAACTTGATAAGTCAGCTTGTTTTTAAGAATACCATAATTACTGTGATGGAGATGAATTGATTTGCAAGGGACACAGGACCTGGAGCTGAAGAAGTAAAAAGCTGTGTATTGAGGCTCTTTCGGCTCTGGGTAATTTTGAGACTGTCCCATCACTTAGCTCTGGATAGATTAATAGTGAAGCTGGTTTTGTCATCTTTAAAGTGATCCACCAATATATGATTAATCATAATATATGAAACTAGAGTTGATCATTATTTCTCACAAGCAGATACTAATTTGAAAAAATTCTGATACTGGATTTTTTTCTATTTTGAAGTAACTTTTTGTTTTGCAATTTACTTCATTATTCCATTATAAGGTATAATGGAAAACATTTTCTTGAAACAAAATTGAGTGTGACTTTTGTGTTTTTCAGGCAATTTCAACATTCTTTGGGTTTGTTGCAGTTTGGAACATTGGTGTATTTTCAATTCACATTTTAAAATATAATTGAAATTCCAGTTTCCTCTCTGCACAGTTGAGAATATTTTTGTCCAGAAAAATAACTTGAATTCATTAACTATTAATCAATACAACTATTAATAACTACAATTAATACAAGAGGCACTTAAGTATGAATAGCCACATTCTACAGATGGAAGAGGAAGGAAAAAACATTAATGTCTTTGTTCAAGTCCATAGAATTAAATATGAGAATGTATGAAGCTTCTGATCTCAAGTGCTGTGCTCAGAGACAGTACAGTATCTCACATTCAGACATGAACAGAATTCAACAAATGAAGGAATGAATAGCTGTAGAGAAATTTCCATTGTTACCCAAATGAAAGAAAAGTTATAAATGTTTCTCCTGGCTTTTCTATATGGGAAGCTAATTATACAGTTAGATACAAATTACTTTCTTAACCTGCCATAGAACTTCAAGAAAAGAAAATATTCCACTGATTGATGAATCAACTTAATGCTAGGCTTAAACTTCCTACTGTTAAGACAATATATCATGCTGTAGTATAGTTTGAGTCACAAAAGAAAATATTGGTCTAAAATTTACACAGCCCTTAAAACATGTGGTATTAATCTCTTTTGAATTTGAATGATCACAATAACAGTTGTCAGTAATCCTTTACAGTAATTAGTATTATTCCTCACTTAAGGAAATACCACCTACTTTGGGGAATAATGTTATCTTTTTTGTGTTCAGACATCAATCAGTAGTTTTAATAAAAAACAGGCTTAAAGAAAATTCCACGATTTTTGCCAAGGACAATGCAATATAAGACTTTGAATTCCAAAGGCAAGTTGAAGCATATTTTTGCAGTGTCAGCTTGAGCAATTTTATACTGTGGTTTTCAGCCATAATACCATAAGATATAATTTATATTGGAAAAAATTTGACTTATTACATGCGACATTGTTGTTGTGAAATCTCATGGTAGGAGTGGAATCTAGTCATGTCACCACCATAGAAATCTCCAAAATAGGGAGTTTGTAGTAGTAATTGCAATCTGTATTTGAATGGAACACTGTGATCAATTGTTGGCTGATGCCAAATTGAGAACCATATATCACTCTTATTAGCTGAGGTAGAAGAGAAATAAATGCATAGTAAAAGATCATCAGGAAAGACATATTCAATATAAATGATCTAGTGTTCGCTTAAGTGGATAAGTGAGAGAGAAGCTAGCATGTAGGCAAAGAAGATATACAGCTTTGGAAGGACAAAATTTATGATGATAAAAGTCCCAGAAAAAACATAATACAGAAGTAGTAGAAGTAAATTAAGCTATTTAGTACTAAGTGAGCATGGTGTAGCTGGAAAGTAAACAGGGAGTTAAGAGAGGAAAAAATGAATGTGTTGCTGGTCAGATTGTTGGCAACCCTCTGAGGCAGTACTTTTGCAATAGATTAATTTAAACCTTATTAGTGGAATAATCTCTCATGCTAATACAAATTAGCTATCTAGGAATTACTGAAGTAGCTAAACTGGAAAGCACGCAACTTCCCTAGACTTGTTTTACCATTTGCTTGCAATAAGGGGCAAGGGAATAAATTATCATATTTATAGTTTTATGGAAGAAACAGGGGCCTATAAAGAAAGATTTTGGGTTAGATGAATTTTGCAAAAAGTCTTTTAAACTGTAAACAGCTGTATAATATGAAATCTGTTTGAAACAATGCGT